GCACACTCCCATTGGCCACAACTAATTGCATTATCTGGCTGACTCAATTTGGCATTGTGTACTCTATACATAGATGACATATACACATATATATCGCTTATCTTTCGCAATGCGGCTTTAATGAGATTTCAATTTAGGGAAGAGCCAAGCCAAGAATGGGATCTTTATTAGATTAAAATGCGGCGATTGGTGGGAATGGCAGCTGCAGATATTATATAATAAATTTTATGCCGCTGGCTAAGCAAATATTTTATCATAAATTGTATATCTGGTTTACTTAACAAACGTTGTAGCACAATTTGTGTGCCATTCTTTCTGAAAAGAATTTTGCTTGCGCAAATATTTAACCAGATAATGTATCAGTTTTCTTGTTATAAATATGTTTGGTACCTAAACCAAATAGGAGATACTTGAGCTTATGGGAAAATTATGAGCTTATGAGAAAAAAAATTTTTTTTTATTAAGTTAATTTAATCGTAAGATTGTCACCGTGTATACAAATTCAAGTGAATCACATATCCACCATAATAAATCATATACATATAAAAATATATATAGATATGTATATCTTTCTTTGTTGACTCAATATCTATATTCGCTGGCAGTTGAATATACCCTTATCTATTTCAGCAAACTTTCATTTTTCCATCAGTGGTCATTAACTGTAAGTACTTGGCCATAAAAATGAAACTAATGGCCATAACTCACTTAGGTAAGCTCCCAGCGGGTAGAGCAAAATTGAGCAACAGGAATCATACGACCCGCGGGCGCCTGATGAGTGTTCACTGTACGGCGCACTCTCATTACAAAGTGCGTGACCTAGCCCAACAATGAAAAGTCATTTTCTCAGCGGGAAAGGCTATCAGTTTGATGCCTGACACTATTATACAAAGTCGAAGAACTTGAGCACAAGATGATTCATTGCTGGATAAGCATAAATATCGGAGAAAATAAAGCACAGCCATTTGTTAGTCAAATCATTTTGAAATCATCACACACACACACTCACACACACACAATGGCAAACAGACTCCTCACACAGACGCACACTGATGTACGGCAGGAATGCAATGGGAAAACAAACAGGAAAAAGGTAATCGACCTCGTCGTGGAAAAATGGTTGCACAAGCTATAAGGCCACGAATCACTCGAACGAAACTGGTTTCAAAAATATAAAGAAATGAATAATCCTCATGCCTAATTAATAATGATAGAAAGTAAGCTTAGCTTGCAATTTAAAGCCGATATGGTTAAACCTTTAGAAATACAAGAATTTTGAAAACAATGCATGCCGCATGAACAGGGAGAGAGAAAATTAGAAGGATATGCCCAGAGAGCGGTGAGAAAGGAAAACAAAGGGAGAGCAGTGAAGAGGAGAACGAGAGAAATGCAGAGAAGCGGCGAAAGGGAAAGAGAGCCGCCCAATGGCAGGCAACACTTTTCGCAGCCGTCAACGCTGCGTATGCGTAATGTGAGCGAACAGTCAACAGAAAGTGGAATGGCGGAAAATTAAAGTTTACTGCACGCCCCTGTCTGCCCCCTTTTATATTTTTTTGTAGCATTCCCCCAACCCCCCTTTTCGACAGCTCCAACGACTTCCTGACGTGCAGGCGAGCGCAATTTATGGCGTGGCATTGCGTACTGCTCGAAAAAGGGGGTGGAAATGGAGCAGGGGCGCCTCCCCAAAGGGGGTTACAATGAGGCAACACCCTGCAGACGGACACTGGCGTATTCTTTTCTAGGCTAGACCACATAAACATTAATATTCAACACCTTAAATGACTGTTGTTCGTGTAAAACACACATATACAAGGGACGGTCTGCTTAGTTTGAGGGATAAAATTTACTTTTATCCAAATTTTGCAAAAAAAAAGTTATTTTTAGTTCCATAACAAAAATAAATTCTGAAAACAAAATTGGGGCAACACTGCGTATTAGTAATGGCCGTCAAGTAACTCAGCAGTTTTTCATTTTTTTTTTTGCATATCCTTAATTAAAAACTGGAAAAACTGAGGGAATCACCCTGTTTTCACAGACATGCATAAATTAAACTGCATGTTTGGCCAGGGAAAAGTGGGCGGGAAAAGTTCAACCGTGTTTAATTTGCCTTCTTACACTTTTCCTCTCTTTTTGGCCCTAATGCACTCGCATGTTGCATTTGCACAAAAATTTCCTTTTTGTGTTTTTCCGTTTTGGGAACGAAAATATTTTTGTTTCGCTTTTGTCGGCTTTGTTCGTCGGCGAAATACAAGAGGCGAATGTTTTCCTTTTTCTGCTTTCCTTTCCTTTTTTTCTGCTGCTGGTTCATTTGGTTTGTTGTTTGTTTTATGATTATGTGGGTGGCACTGACGAAGCGTTCTCCCCTTACCCGAATTTGCCTGTATTTTTGTTGTTTCGCTTAGTCAATTTAAATTGCATTTATTCAAATTTCGCTGACAGTGCTGGCGGTTTGTAAAGAATGCAATGACTGAGCAAAAAACTATAAGCAGTGGTTTCATTAAGGAAATGGGAAAAGTTTGCAGGTGGCTACCACAAAGTAAGTTTACGAGTTCGGGAAACGAACTAAAAATCCAAGAAAATTGAAATCTTGCATACAAATTAAATTGTGGGCTTGAATCAGCTGGTCTGCAAGTGTTATCCCTCTAATCCTTATATTTTTTGCGATAAAAAACGGACTGTAAAAACAGTTTAACTAAACTGTGATTAATTTGGGTGATTTATTATTCGCGATTAAATAACATATTTTTACACGCCCAGATAAGCATTTAGTACTTTTAAGCTGTGTTCCCCTAACCAGACGTCCCCGTATTTAACTGTGAAAATATGGAAATTCTGATATGAACCGGTTTCAATCTACCCAAACATGACTAATTGTTTGCAATAACAGAGTAATGTTCTAGTAAAGTACTTTTGTCCAAGAAAACTTCATATGTCGTTAGAAATTAGAGATCATCAATCAACAGCAATGTGCTACCAATTTGACATTGCGAAACTCGTACGTTTTACCGAAGATATATTACATTCATGATATCGATTCACGATTTCCCATGAATATATTTTTAAACATAATAATAATATTTAGAAAGTATTATCCACTTCCCACGGTCACATTCATTATCATTTTCATATTTTCCAACTTTGTGGCAAGTGCATGGGCAAACCAGACTCCTTGACCAAATTCTCAATGAACACTTGAGTCCCATTCTAGACATTCCAATTGGCGGCTGATTGATGGGTGCAGTAGTTTTTGAGGGGTATGCAGTAGAGTAGTTTACGATTACTTCCTCGTCGGCGTTTGTTTACCCTCGAATGGGCGGAATTTAGAGACCTGGGAGACCGGCGTAAAGCCCATGTGACTCCGAAAATAAAAGCACAAAAAGCGAAAGGTAAACAGGGGGTCGGAATGTGTAGTTAGTTGCAATTACTTTTGCGTATCGTTATTGGCCACTACACTATTATTATGCATTATATGACGTAGACGGGGTAAATTACGTATTAGTTATAAAGCACTTTACTCGCATAATTCTGCAGTAATATCTACGATTTCCTATAACGATTTTATTCGACTTTCGGCTGTATTTTTTGTGTTATTATTTGCTATATAATATTTATTTTTTGTTTTCGACGGACGCGACGAGAACGCGTTATAATGTTAACTGAACTGTATGAGAACTGAATCGAATGGAATCGGGTTTCCTATAAAAATGGCCCAACGAAAAAACGCGAGAGCGTGGAAGAGAGCGACGAAGAGAGGGAATGGAGGAAGTGGCGATAAAAGAGTAAGCTCCCCCGCTCTTTGCGAAATCGAAATATAAAATAAACAAAAGCGCAAAACGTGCGCAGACTGTGCGAAAGGGAGGGCGCTAGCGATGTAACCGTATGCCGGTTGCAGCCTCCAATGCGAGCGAAAGAAAGGGGTAGAGCCGGCCAGAAAGAGAGCGCTACATCCAGATGCAAACGACAATAAAAAGCTTCAAAGTTAAGTCAACAAGGCAGCGCCATGAAAATTTAATAGTCATCAAAAAAGAAAACAAACTGGACGATAAATGTACGAGGCTGTGCTAATTATCAGAAGAATGCCAAGACTCAGATGGAAAACGGAAGCCGAAAACTCTGGAGATTCCACAGTAGAAGTGCTTTATGCCCATTTAAGTGTTATGGCAAGTCCCTCCGGGCATCCCTACATTTTCAGCCACAGTCTGCCCTTCCTAAAACTAAACTTAATTTAAAAAAAAATATTTTTTTTTTAATAAAATTTTAAACTTTTACCTCCATAGAAGTATATAAGTATACTTAATAGCATTAAAAAGTTTTCAAAAGCTATAGATGTTCAAGATCGAAAGTTTCACTGTAACTGTCTGAGAATCTCATTTACTTACTTGCGATAAACTTTTAGTAAAGTGCCGCAAGTGCTCAGAAAAGATTTGAAAAGTGAAAAAGCAAACATGGATACATTTGCATATATGTACATATGTACATACATATATATATAAAAACGGGTGTGCGTGGGTGACCCTTAACTAGGCGTTAACTGAGCTCAAATGGGCTTTAAGTGCCTCTAATTTATGGCTTATGTGGATGACGAGAACTAGTGGAAGAGTCCAGCGCAATGGTCACTTAAAAGTAATGGTTAAGATCCATATTGCAGTCCCCAATACACGTATTTCGTAATTATTTAAACGTGCATAGCTTCCTCTCCTAAAATTTTAAATTTAAGTATAAACTTATGTGTTGCATACTTGGCGGCTGCATGTCGGAAAGTGCTTGTAGATATCATGTAGAAACCGTGTAAAAAAAACCTTTCAGTTTCGGTTTATTTGATACAAACATTATTGGAATTATAAATCACTTTTCAAGTTTTTGAGAATTATATAAAGTGTACCATTTGCACGATGTTTGCCTGTTGCGCCACCAATAAAATACTCAAATATGTAAATCCCCAAAGCTCCACTCATTCATAGTATCCCTAAAGCTTAATACATTTCTTTGGAGACACTCACCGTTATTGTTGCTGATGGCGAATCGCTGCTGCAGCTGCTGTGCCAGCGCCTGGTGGTGCTGGGCCAGTGGTGTTAGGGGTGGCGGTGGTTGCCCCACCCCCAGTTGCTGGGGCGCCGACTGCGAGTGCGGCACGCCGCCGCTGAGGGAAGACGTGTCCGAGGAACCGTCTCCGCCGCCGCCGCCGCCGCCGTTGCCACCACCACCCACAAGGCCATTGGCCATGGAATTCTGTGGATTCTGGTTCTGGCCGTTGAACTGCTGCACGGAGATCGAGTTGGGAAGTCCCTGGTTCAGCTGCTGCTGGGCGGCGGAGATGAGCGGATTGCCGGTGGTGACATTTATGGAATTGTTGGCCTGGCTCATGGAATTATTGTGGACGGCTGAGTTGAGCAGGGAGCCATTCGCAGTGGCTCCACTGTTGCTGTTGTTGTAATACGACTCCTCGCCTGCAAGTCAAAAAAGCACAGATAATCAATGTCCTATTGTAATCGAGTCCTTAGAAATAGCAGCTAGCCCATTCATTCCTTTTCATACAGAATACACAAATGGCTAGACTTTCGTTTAGTTCTTAACTTTCGTAATATAAGAAGGGGTAGTTGCCCTTTTGCAAGAGTGCGGAGGTACAAGATTAAATAAATTTTATTATTTAAAGAAATATATTGTAGATTTAGCTCCGTTAAAATATTTGTAACTATTGGGAGAACTAAGTCGATTTCCTTAAAAAATATCCCTAAAACATCAATTATATTGGAAATCTACAATTTTTTTAAGTTTGCCTAAAAAAACACCGCTTCACTTGAGAACCCATTCATAAAAGCTTTATTTATGTTGTATATAGAGACAGCTTTCTCTTGGCGAAAGCCTTTCTCTGGGTGGCGCCATCTCTGGTCGAGTGGCGGCAGAAAACTGCTTGCTTTGCCTGCCGCAAGCAGCTCAAAGTTGAGGCAGGTTCGGACTTCTTGCTGCACAGAGCACCGCCCACCGCCCCTTTCCTTTTGCTCCACAATCTCATTTGAATGCATTTCGCGTTTTATTGCGGACGGCTGGTTCTTGTCTTGTTTCCCCTTGGATGCCTCAACTGGCCATGGGCATGGACAATTAGCCGCCACTGATTAATTGACATTTAGCGGAAAAGTCGCGACTTGGCGACGAGACAGCACTCGTAAAGTCCGATGACAAGGCGCCTTCTTGAGGTACACGCCCCCATTGCCGCCTCATCGCCTCCTTCGCCTATTACACTGGGCAAAATATTAATTAAAACGCGAATTCTTCAGCCTCTTAGGTACAGCTCTTGATGTCTTTCAAGCGCGAATTCTTCAGCATCTTTAGTTTAAACTCCTGAAGCTTCTGCGATTTTCTCTCTGTACAGCCCGTATTTGTTTTCGCCTTTCACCACAACACGGCCAATTGACGAGCTGCCTGTCACAGCTCAACTACGCAACTCAAGCGGAAGGAAGACGCTTCTTCTTTGGCAAGCAAACAATTTAGCAGAGTGCTAACCTGTCTAGTTAGGCAGATCGAGTAGATGGGGGGCTTTGAAGGGGGGGCTATCACACTACAAGCCTTGGCTATATCGTGCGTGGCTTATGGCCAATTTCCGTTATGCTTGCGCTTTGCTTTGGCTGCTCTTCTGGCTAAGCCGCAAGCAAAACTTGCCAGCAATTGGCAGGCAACAAAAAGTTTTGTTGCACAAGCCAAACAGAAGAAACTAAAGCAGGGGTACAAATACAACAAATGAAATGGAGGGGGTCTACAAAAGTTGTGGGAATAATCAGCAAGTTCATTTGTGCGGTTGGCACGCATTAAGAGATATAGCAAATGTATACTTGTTTTTATTTCAGCTCGATTTTTTTGTGATTTTATTGCTATTTATATAGCCCCATTTGTTTTAAGTAAATACTACGAAGGAATCTACTCGAATGACTAACATTTTCGATTCATTCAAAGTAAAATTCCACTAAACACTATATTAAACGACTCTGTATGTTTCATGATGAAATATTTTAGGAAACTTACCTGGTTCTGGAATATTGCCCAGGGGACTCTCTGGCAATAGAATCCCCTTTTGCACTAGCTCATCACGATTGGCACGCACAGAAATCTTACGCTCCAGGGCTATAGAAATATCATATATATTATAAGTTCTAGATTTTAATGTAAACAATTTACTTACACTTGGAGGCCGCCTCGAACTTCTCGCTCTTCTTTTTCCGTCGCCATTTCCATGGCTTGAAGAATCTGCCCAGGGCACTGAGTTTGCTCTTCCTTTCCAAAGGTGGCGTCCTAGTGCCCGAACCCAAGCTATTTGTGCGTATGGCCGCTCCATTCTGTTTCTTAGCTGCAATCGAAAATTGAAAACGAAGAGGGGCAATTAGTAATTAGCATACATGGCAAACGTTTCAATGAAAACGCCCTGCCGGAAACGGAAGCGGGCGTTACCCCATTTTGGGCCACCGGTTATTAAATGGACGCATTCCACGCCCACTTTTACCGCAACTGCGGCGGAATGTAGTTTTTTTGCTGTTTTTGCAGTTTCATACGATTGTGCAATCATTAGCGAAATGCTTTGCAAGCTAGGAATTCAGTAATGCTTTTATTCACAACAAAGAAACACTAAATGCACTGGCAACGGTGCGTAAAATCCTATTACTCAGGTCATTAAAAGGGAGGATCTTTAAACTATTTATTGTGAAAACACAAACATTTTTCAATTGCTGATTGATTAGGCAAAATAAAAATGAATTTTATTCAGAATTTGAACAACCTATCAATCTTTTCCTTTTGACCAAACCCAAAAGATAATCCTCAGATTGAATGCAAAACGCTTCAAAATATATTCTCACCCATCGTCACTCAGGCGAATGAAGTTTCCCAGGGGAATCTCTTTATTTATTTCTTCAACTGGACAAATATTTAAATTCCTTCTCTGCTATTTGAGGCTCCATGTCAGTTTGCATTGGGAAATCTCTTTCCCAAACAATTGATGCCGAGGAAATGCGAGAAATACAGACCCGTCCGTACACAAGCAAAAGGATGAAGATAAGGTAAAGAAAAGTCAACAGAAAAACAGCACTAGATATGTCGACTCATTCCGAAGTTGGACCGACCAATCCCGCCCACTTTTCCCTGCTGTTGATGCTGCTTTTCCAGATAAGCTCTGGCATACAATGTGGAGCATAAAAAAGACTACACCCACATGGGGAAAAACTTTGAAGTGCTGCCTGCATTGAAGCGTTGAAATTAGGCTACCTGAGCATAGGAAAAAGAGGGGGTTTTTGAGGTAAAAAATGGAAGAGGGGGACCAACTGTAAAACTACTGCAAATGGGCTAACAACTATTTGGCTTCCTGATCTTCTTACCATAACTGGGCTTCTCTCGCAGCGACTGCTCCAATTGTGGTCAATTGTTGGTCAACAGCAGCAGCCAGTTACATAATAAAAACTGTGTGAGAGGGGGACAAGAAGTCCAGCATCTTTAAGTTGCTTCTGGTTGGGTTTTGTTGTGTATCTCGCAAATGTGTGTCACTTTGAGGGAATTACTTTGGCCAACAGCGGACGCCCCACAAAGAATAACAGCTAGGAAAATCTTTGGCTCATTTCGAATGGCGCCAACAAAGAGAATCGCAGAGCGGCGGGGGAAATGCGGAAAATACTCGGAAAATTGGGTGACAAATTCACATGGTGAACATTTTTATTCGGAACGAAATTTTAACAGTCACTATTTAGTTCGTGGAATATAAAGACTGTGGATATATTATGATACATACATATGGACTTGTAGGAATAACGTATATACTCTATTTAAAAACAAATTCATTTAGTAATGGTTCCCAGCTAAGCTTTAAAATCACTTTAATATTTAAGGCTTACAAAAATAAACTTATAATTAGTTACATTAACATTCGAAGCAAAAGCACTTGATTAATTCCAGTGATTCTCATTTTGTTTGTTATTGGTTTTAACTCATTTATTCATATGAGTTATTCATATGCATCTTCCCACACACAGCAGTTAATTAATTTCAAACAAATATGTCTTTCAGCGCAAAAGACCATAAAATCGGCATACCCAACAGGCTGGTAAACAAAATACACATCATCAGAATCTCAGCACGAGTCCAGAAATGTTTAAGGCGAAATGGCAATTTCGGCTGCGTCTTCCCCAATTTCCGCGGCTGTTCCCCCTTCTTTTTTAATGGCCCAAAGGGAGAACCAAATACAAAATAAGGCAAATAATGTAAGCTATATGCAAAAACACAAAAATAAACAACGCAGTCGACGTTGTCGTCATTATACAATTTTTATTTCATTTTCTTTACACGATTTTCTGTGGGGAAAACCGGTTTTGGAGCTTCGTTGACGTTTGAATGAATGCAGCAGCTTCCAAGATTTTGGCTTCGAAAAAAGCGTCAACGAATACAACAGCAACAACAAAAGCCAGTGAAGGGCGCGGCAAAAGCAACAGCAACAATATCATAAAAAAAGAAAACAGCAACAAAATCAAAAAAGTATTGCTATGCGAACGCGTGGAAAACGGGTTTTCGCGAAAGTTGTTGTCATTGTTCGCTTGTTGTTGCTCTTATTGTTTTTGCTGCTATTCTCGCTTGAGCGGCAGTTTTTTGTTACTGCTACAGTAAAACTTTGATAAAGTCAACTCTGCAGATGGATAAATATGACTTTTTTTATGATTATCATATCATTTTGAAACACAAGCCAAATATACGAAAAGAAACGAGGCGAAGCCTAGTTCATTTCCATTTTACCAATAACCACTGTACATGGTTTCGAATTTTTCGGGGCGCCCGCCAGATTCGCTTGAGGCCAAAACCGAGACAGAGAGAAAAGCCAAGAAATATGGCTGACTCTTGCTGGTAAAATGTTTTCTTCTCATTGTTGTAGGTATGTTACATGACGGGTGGAACCTCAAAGGGGGTACCAAATGGAAAACACAGCACTTGGCCAAAAACAAGCCATAAACTGGCAGCCAGATGAGAGTCAAGGAGTAAATGTATGAAAACACCCATTCGATATGCGGATAAATTATTACGAACACACAAATTATGAGTGTTCAAGCCGGATTTATGCAAAGGGTTGGTTCAAACGAATGCATTTTGCAGCTTCAAGAGCTTGGTTCGGAATAAGCTCGCTGTTTTTTATACTTTAAATTTACATTGAATAAAATAGAAGAGAACCTTTAACCTTTGACCTCACATACAAGACTCTGGCTTTATGCACAATATGTAGAGACATACGAATTCCGTTCTGTGTAAAATGTCAATTGGCGTGTTCCACTTTAAAGCGCACTACTCGCTTATAAATAAACAGAAATCGGCGCTGATAACTACACCGCAAACACGATGAATAAATATAACAACAACAAAAACTGGACAGCTAACAATAACATGGGGGAATTTATTTGCACAACGTGATGTGCTCAACAATTTGTTAAAATAACACAGAAAAGACGAGCTGAGAAATACACTAAAGCCGGGAATTTTAGCCACCTAATAAAGTCAAAGGTATATAAATTATTTCTACGACTTATCGCATGCAACACATTTTGTATTTGAGCCAACGAATAAATTACCGCAAAAGCAAAAGTGAGTGAAAAATCAGCGACTGTGGCTGACACAACATGTCAAAGCTGAAATCCCACAAAAAACGAAAAAAAAAAAAACAAAAGTTAATTACAACGAATTGTATTGGCGGTGAGTGCGTGAGAAAAATGTGTTATTACTATCGTAGGCATCTGTAAATGTAGATACTGTACTTATGTACATTATACTAACAAATGATTTCGCATACCTTTCTGGTAGTTTTGAAGCGTACAAAATTATAATTTTTAGGACTTAATTCAAATCACGTACTCATCTCTAGCTGAGTAAGAGAAAAAGCATGGCCCGAATGTCAGACAGTTTGAAGCCTTCGGCGGCAAGTGAAAAACTTGCAGAGAAACGAAAAAGTGTAACAAATTGTGTGAAAAATAAATTGCTAATTTTTGTACAAAATAGATTTTCGGCGCGGCTTCTTTTTTTCGTATTTTTTTTTTTGAAGGTTATTCGGCGCTAATTGAAGCCAGGCAACGGCAATTACAAATGAATTGAACGCACACAGTGGGCCCGGTCTAATGTGGATTTGATTGCAATATGAAGCCTGAAATTAAATGTAATCGTGTGCAATCGAATTGGCCAGTGAAAGGGGTTCGGTTGGGGGGATAGGTCGCGCCTGGTGGCACGTAGTTGAGCCACCAAGGTATCGAAAAAGCACCGGGCAACACCAGCAGCGCCAGTCAAATGCACATGCACAAAATTCAAATCGCATTACGTATACGCAACGTTGCGCAGCAAAGGGAAATCAGCGCGGGGTGTATTGATTCGAATTTGTTTATTTTTGTATATGTTTCGTGAATGAAGCGAAGCATTGAAGCAAAGCGGCGTAGTCATCGGCAATGACAAAATCCGAATCACTTTACATTGCCCCTAGATAGTTGTTGACATTGGGCAGAGTGACAGCTAAATTACTATGGACGCTATATAGAGTTACTGATTATTAAGATCTCTAAAAACAACAGAGAGCTCGGACTTAATTAATGGAATTTCGAATCAATGAATTTGTTTATTTAAAATGACATGCCTCATTATCTTTGTACCTTTAAGTGCTTAAATATTTATAAACTTAAGTTCCTAATACCATCTTTCACCTGCCATTCGAGATTTATCCTAAATACCTATTGTTTCAACCATCTTATACACCTGAACACAGTCAAACAAAGTTTCAGCTAATTGTATGCCGTTGCAGGCACAATTCCCATTATTTGCCAGCAAATTGCCGGCGTCTGTGTCAATGTCAATTAAGAAACCAATTTCCGAACTGATTCCCGGCTTCTCTGATTCTCTGCTTCTCTGCTTCTCCATTTCTCTATGTTTCTCCGTATTTCTCCCAGCACGAGAGAGCACGTAATTGGTCGAAATTCGTGTGGCTAACAATCGTTCAAATTAAGCGGAGAAGGAGACTTTATGAATAATGGAATGGCAATGAATCATGCGACGATCGAAGGAATGAACAATAACAAATTGCTTATTAAATGCTTGGTCATAAATCGCTGAAGACTTTGCAGCTGCCTCCCATTTTGTATACTCTCCTCCTTCCAGCTTTAATAGAAACCCTCATACGCCCAGTTGGACATTTATAAAATGCACGCTGCTAATTGCATTGACATTTGACTTCTTCCGAAGGGTTTTATAAATAGATGTGAACGCAGTCAGCGGCTTAATTGACTCGTGTGGTGGAGAAAAAATTCAAAAATCTCAAGGGTAGGGTATCAAATTTCAACATATTAC